GCAGTGTCGGACTCATGGGTGAGCTTAGGAAAAGCACTTCCATTGGAATGACAGATGGAAGCCAATCTACAGTGGGTCAAGGAACAATTAGGGAAAAAATGAAGAGCAAAGATGGAATGTGGACTTGTCTTTACTAAGACAGAAGTAGACAGCAGTGTGTGTGTGTGATTGGGAAGATTCTAGTATGCTTGTAAACCAAAGGGAAGGAGCTAAGGGTGGTGATCCAGGGGCTGATAGGACTAAGGGAGCAGGAACCCTGGAGACACTGAAAGGAATGGGATCCCTGGAATGAAGGGAGGGTTTTTTTTTTTTTTTTTTAAGAGATTTATTTGTTTAATTTGAAAGTCAGAGTTCTAGAGAAAGAAGGAGAGGGAGAGAGAGGCAGAAATCTTCCATTGGCTGGTTCACTCCCCAGTTGGTTGCAATGGCCAGGGCTGGGCCAGGCCAAAGCCAGGACCCAGGAGCTTCATCCAGGTCTCCCACATGGGTGGCAGGTACCCAAGCACTTGAGCCATTCTCCATTGCTTTTTCCCTGCATTAGCAGGGAGCTGGATTGAAAGAGGAACAGCCAGCACACAAACTGGCAGCCATATGGGATGCTAAGATTGCAGGCAGTGGTTTTACCAACTATGCCACAGGGCCAGCCCTGAAGGGATATTTCTAAAAAAATAGTCATCATGTTGTTTTATAGTCACATCTGACAATGATTTTCATCTCTCATGGAAGTTTACAATTAGTTTTCTGGGCTTTGTGGATTAACGAATAAATGAGAAAACATTTGGCTGTTAAAATCAAATATTCTTTTGTTTGATGATTAGGGATGAACAACTGATCAGATAAGAGATGACTCAGGATGATGAATTGTTATACTTACTGAATTAATTTCAATGTGAAACACAACTACATTTTGATGATTTGAGCACTTGCATTATCATTCAAAGAGCAAAACAGTCATTGGTGAGAATCCCCGAAGTAATATGGTTCCTTCAAAAGTCAAGGATTCTTCAAACACCCAGTCATTCACCAAATAGTTACAAAGCCTTCACTGTGTACCAAAGACTGTGCTAGGCCCTATAGATATGGCTGTAAAGAGTGTATCTTCAGTCCTTGTTCTGATGTTGCTTACAGCCTTGGAGGGGCTGCAAAAGAGCAAACAGGCCATGACAGTAGCTTGATGAATATTTGGACTGGGGATATGGGGCCAGCACTATGGCACAGTGGGTTAAAGCCCTGGCCTGCAGCACCAGCATCCCATATGGGCACCGGTTCGAGTCCCATCTTCTCCACTTCCAATCCAGCTCTCTGCTATGGCCTGGGAAAGCAGTAGAAGATGGCCCAGTGCTTGGGTCCCTGCACCCACATGAGAGACCTGGAAGAAGCTCCTGGCTTCTGGCTTCAGATAGGTGCAGCTCTGGCCATTGTGGTCATCTGGGGAGTGAACCAGTCGAAGGAAGACCTCTCTTTTTCTCTCTCTGGTTCTACCTCTCTCTGTAACTCTGTCTTTCTAATAAATAAACAAATCTTTAAAAAAAAGGATTGAGGATACAGAGGGACATTGCAGGGTGCAGAAAAGCCACCGAATGTCAGTGGTTATGGAAGTGGTTGATGATGTGTGAGATGGGTTGGGGATGCCGTCTTCACTGAATTGTTGGGTATATAAGCAAGGACCTGAAGAATGGTAGGATTTCTACAGGAGAAGGAAACATGGGTCAGGAGGGAAATTGTGCACAGTAAGAAAGCTTCTGGAAGTGGGAAGAAGAGTTTGTGATTAATGCTTTCAGTGTAGGAGGAAGAAAGAGCAAATATGGCGAGAGATGGGGCTGGATTGGGAAGGGAGCTGCCCTTCGTAAAGGAACTGGGAAGATTTGGGCCTTATTTATGGCCAACAGGAAGCCAGTAGGAGGTGCTCAATGGGGCAGAGAAGAATTTGATTTATGTTTTACAAGGACTACTCTGGTTGTAGTGGGGCGACAGACTGAAACAGGACAAGAATGAGAGCAGAACGACTACGAGGCAGATGCTGGAGGCTTCAGCTAAGGTAGTGACCCTGAGAGGATAGGAACCAAAAATACCTGGGACACAGTTGGGAAGTGGAATAATTAGGGCTTATTGGTGAAATCAGTGGAAGGTAGTCGAGGGCTGGCTACATGCTTTGGTGGTTGGAGCTGCCACTCCACCCCACAGACGATGGAGGAGGAGCAACAATTTTGGTTAAGGGAAGATACTTCCTTTTGGGTGCCTGTCCATCTAGAATGGCAAACCAAGTTTAGGTGAAGCATAGGCATGTTTGGGGTGCTTTTGAACCCTGTTGTTTAGACTCAGTGACCTCCTGTATGAGCTCTGCCCACACAAATGTTGCTTTCAGTAGGTTTTGAGCAAAGCAAAAGAAGGATTCATTTGCAGAGCTTCAGAAAAGTGAGCCTGGGGCCTCAAAACTGGTTGCCCACAAAGCAAGAAATAATAAACATCCACTTTTAATGTACCAAACTTTCCATTTCCCACCCTCACCCCAGGCATCTGCACACATAAATCAAACCCTCTTAAGTCATGGAATGAAAAATGTATGATAAACTAAAAGCAAACCAAAAAGTGCTTCCTGTGGGGTGAATGGAAAGTTTTGGCAGTTTATTTTCCAGGCACAGGAAAAGCAGTTCTGAATATTTCAAAGCATAAGTAATTGTATTAACTGAGATTTTTGAGAAGATGAGAAAGATCAGATGTAGGGGATTTTGGTGTAAACCACTGTTTACAGAGAAGCAAGGCCTGCTCCACTTTAAGATCAGTTACCACCCAGTGTCCTGCAAACCAAGAAGCATGATGGTTGGGAAAAAGCGAGCAGATTCATATCAAATGAAAACACACACAACCTGCTGAGCGCATGCTGAATTCAACCATAACTTGTGCAATATTTCCTCCTTAGAGGTGGAACTACTGCAAATAAATTTTATTAGGAAAGCTTATTTTCCTTGCATTCAAGTATACTGGAACTTCCTCTGAGACCTGAGTACCCTTCCACCACAAAAATGTGAGGTGTTACCAGTAATGTCTGATTAACGAAGGAGGACTGGCGTGACAGTTGGAAGTGGAAACCAAGACTCTGAAACCCAGAGCCTCACTGGCTGGGTTTGACCTGGTTCCATGACTTCTCAGCTATACACCCCTGGGGTAGGTCATCTCTGTGGCTCTCAGTTCGCTCATCCATGAAAGGAGGCTAAGGATGGAACCTGTGTCGGAGCGTGAGTGGAGCGGGATGCCACGTGGGCAGCACAGTGTCCGGCACACAGTGTGTACTCAGCATGTGGCCCTTCACTGCTGGCATCTGCCCTGCGTCTTCCTGGTTGTGACTCAGCTCGGCTCACCTCTGGAACTCGGGAACTGGCAGCAGCTTTGATGCCATGAAGTGAAAGGACTCCAGCACGATGCCCACGGGTCTGGAAGCTCCTTCTCTTGAAGCCGCCAAGGAGGGGGGCAGGGAGTACAGTGGAAGGGAAATGGAGGAAATTGGAGTAGTGAGTTCCCAGGGCATCCTGGTGGCCCAGTTTCTGCTGTTCAGGTTAGCGTAGTTGCTTCAAATAACTTACATCACATCCACTTCTGGAATTCAGGAGCCCTAAACAAGATACCGAAGGGGAAGGAACGTGGGCAACTTAAGGAAATCACTCTAAGAACCCTTTGGCCTTGATCTAGTATCTTTTTTTTTTTTTTAATTTTTTTTTTTTTTATTTGAAAGAGTTACACAGAGAGAGAAGGAGAGGCAGAGAGAGAGAGAGAGAGCAAGCGAGAGAGAGAGGTCTTCCATCCACTGGTTCACTCAACTGGCTGCAATGGCCCAAGCTGTGCTGATCCAAAGCCAGGAGCCAGGAGGCAGGAGCTTCTTCTGGGTCTCCCACACAGGTGCAGGGGCCCAAGGACTTGGGCCATTCTGCTGCTTTCCCAGGCCATAGCAGAGAGCTGGATTGGAAGTGGAACAGCTGGGTCTCAAACTGGCGCTGGTATGGGATGCTGGCACTATAGGCAGTGGCTTTACCCACTACGCCACAGCACCAGCCCCAGTCTTTTTTTAAAGATTTATTTATTTACTTGAGAGGCATAATTATAGGCAGAGAGGGGGACAGAGAGAGATCTTCCATCTGCTAGTCCACTCCCCAAATGGCTGTAATAGCCAGAGCTGGGCCAATCCGTAGCCAAGAGCCAGAAACTTCTCCCAGGTTTCTCATGCAGGTGCAGGGGCCCAAGCACTTGGGCCATCTTCCACTGCCTTCGCAGGCCATCAGCAGGGAGCTGGATCGGAAGTGGAACAGCTGGGACTCGAACTGGTGTCCGTATGGGATGCCAGTGCCACAGGTAGGTGCTAAGTCTACTATGCCACAGTTCAGGCCCCTGGTCTAGTATCTTAGCTGCTGTGGACTTCCACCTTGATTGCCTTGCCCAGTTGGCTTCAACTTCTCAACTGGATGTTGTCTCTGTGGACTGAGAGTTGGTCACTCCCAGAAGCCCACACCTGTCCTAGAGTCCTGGAAGCTGGGGCAGACCCTCTGGATGGCAGGAGCAGCTTGCCTTAGCATCAGTGGATGGATCCATCTGCTTAGTTAAGAAGGAGCTGTGGAAGGCAGCCTCTAAAAACACTAGCACTGATACCTACTAACTGTGACTTAAGCCATTGTGCCTCAGTTTTCCTCATCCATAAAATGGAGAGATTAGTGGTCTCCTACCTCAGAGGATAAAATGAATTAATACATGTGTAAAGTATAATAACATAAATCTATATAAATAGTAATCCAATTAAATACCATGTAAAACATAAATGTAATATTTGCTAGATTCATAGTATATTTTATACATATTAAATGTATGTTAATGTACATTTTATTTTATATATGTATTGCATTAAGTATATTATTGTATATAAAACTTTAAGTACATATAAAACCTTTATTGTTGTTACTGTCTACTTTATCTCCCCAGAGGGATAGAGAGACTATGAAAGACTTTTTAACTTTTTTTTAAAAGATTCATTTATTTGAAAGGCAGAATGACAGAGAGAGAGGGAGAGAGATTTTCTGTCTGTTTGCCTCCCCAGGTGGCTGCAAATGTCAGGGCTGAGCCAGGCCAGAGCCAGGAACCTGGAACTCCCTCCAGGTCTCCCTTTTGGTTGGCAGAGCACTTGGGCCATCATCCGCTGCTTTCCCACTCACATTAGCAGGGAGCTGGATTGGAAGCAGATTGCTGGGTCACCATCCAGTGCTCTGATATGGAGTGCCGGCATTGCAGGCTGCGGCCTAGCTTGCTGCGCCACAACACCAGCTCCAGAATCTTTAATGTCCTTCCTTTCTTCTCAGTCTGGAGGTGCAGAATCCCAGTTTCTTCTGGAGACCATTGAAACAGGCAAGGCAGGGCTGAAGTAGTTTAAAATGATGCCATCCTTTGGAAAATTGCAATCTGCAATAAAGGCCACATACAAATGATTTATCAGATTTCTATGCTAGTCTTCTTGTAGGTTTCTCCATTTCCATTTCTCTAATAGCTTCATGCATTTCTCATCCTATTTCACAGGCTTTCTGTTCTCTGCAGTAAATAACACCAGATAGACATGTGTCAAAATATATGCATTATTCACCTTGGGGGCGTTTTTCAGTCCTGTCATCATCCCCAGGAACTACTGAATCAGAGAAGTAGGGTGGTTCTGAAAGAGTAGGCATTGTTTTTTTAAGTTGTTTTGTTGGAACCAGAGGAAGAGCAAAGTTTTCCTATCTGCAAAATTATCAATAATCCTTGGATTAAGTGCCTACTCCCCATAAGCAGTGATGCCTCCTGTACAGCCAATTATATCAATGAGGAGACACCACCCCTGAATTGGCAGTGTCACGCTACATCAACTCCCACAAAACCCACTTCCTTTCCAGCAAATAGAAAACAACCGAGAACATGAATTCGTTGTCAGCTCTGAAGACTGAAGGAGGAGGGTGCGTGCTTCTGGCAAACATGAAGTCAGACCTTTGGTATTTCTTTCTCTTCTGCTTCCAGGTTGAAGTTCTAACGGGTAAGTGGCCCACTGAACATTTTTTATTAACTTAGAATCCATGTGAACATTAAGGAAAATCAAAGGTAGAAAAACTGGGCACCAGATATAAAGTGGCTTTGTTTTTTGAGAGTAGGAACAATTTCAGATCACGGCCAAGGGCACCATGTCACCCGTGTCACAGTGGATGGCATTGAGTTTACATGCTGCCTTTGATACCGTGTGTTAAGATGAAACAATATGTTTCAAGGGACCACTGCATTTTTAAATTACCTGCTTGGAGTTACCTGTCAGTGGATAAAGTAAAAGACCAGCTTACTGTTCTCAGAGAAAGATGAAAGGCAAAATGACTTGTGTCAACAGAATGAAAATTAAATAGTCCTGCCATTTGGGTTGGGGATTCTTTCTGTGGTAGAAAATAAAATGGAAGGGTTTTGAAAAGAAGGATTTTGATTTTAATCTTGCCTGGATGATCTGTTTTCTGAAATGCCCAGGCTACCATGGAGTTTTTATTGACACTAAGTATTAGGGTCACCCTAAAAGGCCAAGGCGGAGTGGATTATGGAAAAATACTCCCCAACCCCTGTGGACATTTTTAAAAAAAAATCATTCTGGAGTCTTTGATTCTTTCTCTTAGAAGGTATATATCAGATTCTATCTGAACAACTTAAATGATGCTACCTACAAGGTAACTTCACATGTGAACATGTTTCTGCTCCTCACTTTGTACATTTTGCATTAAATTCATTTTCTTTAACTCTGAGCCTTGTTCTTCAAGCTGGCAGAAGTGAGATGATATTAAATGAGGTATTAGGGTCTACTTGTAAATGTTCCAAGGACAGTTCTGGGTTACTTGCTTGTTTCTGTCTTTTCTACAACCTCATAAAAGATAGATTTGGATTTGGTGTCTCTTTATCCATTCATCCATTCATTTATTGAGCACTGAGCACTTGCCATCCAGGAGGCACTGTGCCAGCTGCTGTGTATACAGCATTGAGCAAAACCAGGTCAGGCCCTGCTCTCCTGAACCTAACTGGATGGGACTACCGGGTCATCCCATGAAGTAGTGATAATTACAGGCAGAATTCAGTTCTATGAGAGAATGTAACCACGGAGGCTGGCCGGACGGAGGAGGTGTGGAAATGAGGCTGGCAGCAGGGGGCTCCTTGTCTTTGCTGTGGAAGTGGCATTTGAGCTGAGATTGGAAGAATGAGAAGCAGTCAGGAGGGAGAATGGTATGAAGGCTGGGGAAGAGCAGTCCCTAGTGTGGAAAGAGCAAGTGCAAAGGAATAAGCTGATAAAAAATAGTATTTCTGGAATAATATTCATCATGAGTTTTATATGAATAGAACCAATACTCTCTTATCACACGGGAAATCATGGAATGTGGCATATCATCTTCCTGTGTGACAGATGGCAGAACTGAGGCGAGAATGACTCAATTGGCTGATAATAAGTATGCTAACAATCAAACAATCATCATGCTCAAAGTACCAACACATTGTACGTATCGAGCAACTACCATTTAAAAAGCAATCAACACAAAGAATCAAACTCAAGTCAATTAAGCACCTGCAGATCTTCTTTGTCATATTTTAAATCCTACGAACTCTGAAGTCTTTCCCATGCTGTAGAGATGTAGGCACTCTCATCTTCAGTCAGTGGTAAAAGAATCTCAGAGTAGGAAAGGCTAAGTGGTTTGTTACACATTAATTAAACACTAATGTGTGGGGACTCCAGCATCCATGTTTTTTCCACAGCATTGAAATAGCAGTGATTTAACAAAAATCTTATGGGAGGGACATTCTAATCAATTTTGTTGTTTGATTGGTGGTTTATGACTGTTGGTTTACAGACTGTGACAAATACATCACCCTAATCAAAGATGTTAGCAAGAGGTAAAGCAGAGTGTAGGGTATTTGAAAACTCTCATCACTACTTCACATTTTTGTGTTCTGTGAATTTATTCTGAAATAAAAAGTTGAAAAAGGCTGTGGGAAATCTTGGTGATTTCCAGCCTTCTGTGGATCTCAATGCAAAATTTTGTGAAGTCTTATTCTTTTAACGATTCTGGCACAGTTGGAGGCTCTTCCTTGTAGCAGGGTCTGGGAGGACTGAACCTCTGATCGCACTGAGAAGACTCTCCTAGATTCTGTGGGCCCTCGGGGGGTCCTCCTGGGGTCTGAGTTTGGAACGCCCCCTCTGAAAGCAGTGTGAGAATGCTCCAGAGGGGAATGAATAAACGTGTGTGTCTTGTGGTGCGTCCCGGGGAAGGGCCCTGCTTTCTCACTCAGTATGGCTGTGGGGATGCCTGGATTCCCCCACCTGAGGAACAACTCCTGTGTGTCTCAGCACCTGATCCTCCCCAGCGCTCAGAGAGGCCTGCTGGGTGGGGCAGGCTGGCCTGTGAGAGCTTCCAGCTTCTCAGGTGCCGCAGCAAGGCCTCCTTCCAGTATGCATGCTGGATGTTGAAGAAGTCCAGATGGTCGGTCCTTTCTTGGGACACAGGAATCGAGGCCATTCCCACTCAGCATCATGAGCCTGTATTTGATTTTATTCCTTCAATACTACATTTATTTACAACTTACTTTCCTTTGTTGTTGAGTCCTTTTGTTAATTTGTGTTGGTTTGATAGTTTCTTTGAGCTGTTTGGTGAATTTGGACAGTCGACTACTCTTTTTTTTCTTAAGATTTATTTATTTATTTGAAAGGCAGAATTACAGAGATAAAAAGAGAGAGAGAGAGAAAGTCTTCCATCCACTGGTTCACTCCCCAGATGGCCACCACGACTGGAGCTGCACCGATCTGAAGCCAGGAGCCAGGAGCTTCTTCTGGGTCTCCCACATGGGTCAGGAGCCCAAGGACTTGAGCCGTCTTCTACTGCTTTCCCAGGCCAGAGCAGAGAGCTGGATAGGAAGTGGAACGGCTGGGTCTCGAACCAGCACCTATATGGGATGCCAGCACTGCAGGTGGCAGCTTTACCTGCTACACCACAGTGCTGGCCCCTCGACTACTCTCCTTAATTTACCAAGCCATTATCATGTTCAGGGAATCTTAATTGAATGTCTGTTTACTTGCTATTGTGTTAAAATAAATAATGATGATGCCCTTCCTGGTATGTCTAACCCCTGTCCCCTGCACTGATACGGGGACTCCAGAATGTTCTTCCCTTCCCATTCTCATGCTTCCCGCATTTAGGGCACTCCAGCCCCACACCTGGTTTCTGTTGACTTAATTTGAAACGTACAGTTGCAGGTAATTGCTAGGTTTCCTCTTGCAGTATTTTCTTTTTCTGTTTCAGTAACTTTCTTTAGAGCACATCAAATATTTTCAGTGATAACATCATTCTGGACATTTCTTTTCTGATCCAGTGGTCAAAAGATTTATGTTGTTTTCTTCAAATTCCCCCGACTTCCTGAAGTCCAGCACACATGAAGATGTCTGTTTTACCCTGGAGGGAACTGGTATCTTCTCTGGGTGTAGGCTTCCTTTTTCTGTCCTGTGGCTAATCCTTAGCATCGTGTATTCTTGAGAGCTATTCATTCTAGCACTGGAATTCAGGATCCTCACTAGTGTCTGCCTCTCTCTCTTTCTATTTCTCTGCACGTGTATTTTCACTGATTTTTCTTAGGAGTGAGTAAGACCTCTCTCTGGACTTAAGCTTTTTTCTTCATTTCAGGCATTCCCCTTCCCTGCTGTTTGTTTTAGTCTTTTTTTTTTTTTAACCTCCACCCACCTCACCCTTTCTAGAAATGCCTGTTCCTCTCAGGTAAAATCTTGAGTCATTTGTTTTTTTCATTATTAGTGAACAAAATGGCTTTTGTGATCTGCCCGTGCTTGTTAACCACAGTACCTTTAGATGAAATGGACTAACATAGTTTTAAAATGACTCCAATCATATTCCCATTTCTTGGTAGAAACAAAATGTAGGTGTGTAGGGAGGCTCTAACTTATCATCTGAAGTTTGCTCACAGTAATATCCATAGTGTTATATGACCTAAGAAATTCACCCTCGGGGGTGGGCCTTGTGGTACAGCGGGTGAAGTCATTGCCTTCGGTTTGAGTCCTGACTCCTCCATTTACCATCCAGCCTTCCACTGATGCATCTTGGGAGACAGCAGATAAGTACGCAAGTGCTTGGATCCCTGCCACCCAGGCTCTTGGTTTAGGTGTGGCCCAGCCATGGCTGTTGTAGGCAGTTGAGAAGTTAACCAGCAGATGGATCATTTCTCTGTGCCTGCCACTTTATCTTTCAAATAAAATTAAAGTCATAAATAAAAAATTTACTCTAGTGTTCATAGTTATAAAGTGACCAAACCCTACAACTTATGCTACCTCCCTAATCTAAGACTGTTGAGTTTTCTACATAAAATGACTTGCTGGGCTTTGTAACTGTAACAGAAATGTATTTTAAAGAGGGTTTGGGAGTATGGGTGGGAGGGCATGGTGGGAAGAATCACCATGTTCCTAAAGTTGTAATTATGAAGTGTAATAAATTTGTAACTGTAAAGCTGTATAGTTCTGCAAAACAACAACAAAAACCATTTATAGGCTGCAAAAACTAAAAAGGAGGTCATCTTTTTTCTGTAAACCATACCTCTGTGCTACTGGAGAAAAAGCTGTTAAATGACAATTTTTGATCATTCTAAATAAAATGAGAATTTTGGCATTTGAAGCATAAGAATTCAAAAATTATATTTTGGAAAATAGGACATAAGTATGTGGAGAATATAACACAGAAATTCAAGTTGTTAGTCAAAAATGATTTTTCCCTCACTGGTTTGGCCTTTAAGGTTGAACAAAAACAAAGACTGTTTTAAGGAGAGAGGGAGAAAGTGGGGATATGGACTTCTGTGGGTCTCACCTAACATAAAGATGTATCTGTTTTGCTTGAGGAAAAGCAAAGAAGAAATAGGTTTCTCCCTAAGCAGGGCAATGGACTCAAGAGTTTTGATTCAGTTGACCACCAGTGCTGATATAATATGTTCCAGCCGTGTTGATGGAGGCACAGAGCTTCCAAT